TTCTTAACCAATAACTGCCCGGACCCTAGCCCTGGCTCTGGTTGGAGGCCAGAAAGTTGTACTTTCCTAACAGACAACTCCCATGATCACAAAGCACATATCTATAGGACACACTCTGAAGATCACTTCTTCTTCTTCTTTTTTTTTTAATATTTATTTATTTTTTTTAATTTTATTTTTTATAGACATATAATATATTTTTATCCCCAGGGGTACATTTCTGTGAATCGCCAGGTTTACCCATGAAGATCACTTCTTTAGAAACTTTTTTTTAAATTTATTTATTTGCTGAATTTAACCTTCTAAAGATTTGCAGCAGCAGGTGTAGCTCTGCTGTGAAGAAACAGGAGTCTACATTATCTTTTGTACTTTGGTTTAATCATTTTAAGCATCAGAAACTAGAAAAAAAAAGGGCTATGATAACCAAATGAGTTTCATTTAGCTAGGGTCATCCCAGACACCACCATAGTAAAGAGAGGGCTGAGAGCTATAATCTGCTAGGGTTAATGCAGTCTGGAAAAGTACGTGGTGTTTGTTTGTTTGTTTGTGGAGGGACATGGGCTTGTATGCATCAATATAAACATCCACCTCCATGCACATAAGCAAACTTGTAAATCTGGAAAACAGAAGTCAGTGTGGTGGAAGGAATCCTAATTTTAGAATTAAAATTGTTCACAGTGCTATCCTGTTAACATTCATGGTTTTGGCCTTGGAAAGTGGGTAGGTCATTCATTTAACGAGGATTTGCTGAGTACCCACTATGTGCCAGGCTCTCTTCTAAACATCAGGGTACAGTGTTGCACAAATGAGACCAAACACTTGTTTATTTTAAACGCCATAGAAGTTCAGATCTAGTGATGGAGATAGATAATAAATAATATACAAATACATATATTATTTAGAAAGATAGGGACACTTGGGTGGCTCACTTGGTTAAGCCTCTGCTTTCAGCTCAGGTCATGATCCCCAGGTCCTGGGATCAAGTCCTGCATGGGGCTCCTTGCTCAGCGGGGAGCCTGCTTCTCCCTCTGTCTGCTGCTCTCCTGCTTGTGTGCTTGCACTGTGTGTGTGTGTGTGTGTGTGTGTGTGTGTCTTTCTCTCTGACAAATAAGTGAATAAATCTTTTTTTACATTTTTAAAAAATAAAGTAGTTATAGCAGGATGGAGAATGACAGAGAAAGAAGCAGGGGGAGGGCAGGGAAGATCTCCCTGGGAAAGTGACACTGGAGCAGAGTGGTGAATGATGTGACAAAACAAGCTGTGAGGTATTTCCAGGCAAAGGGAACAGCATGTACAAAGGCTCTTAGGTGAAAATGTGTTGCATGTGATATGATGAGGAATATCAAAAAGACAGGTTAACTGATGGGGTGAGAGAGGGTAAAGTGGTAGAAGGTATAGTTGGAAAGACAGCCAGAAGGCAGACCACGGCAGGGCACTGTAGGTCATGGGAAGGACTCGTGACTTTATTTTACATCTTATTGGAAAACTTGATTGATTGATTGATTGAGGGAGGGCATGGGAGAATATTATTGACATGTGACATAACCTGACTTCCTTTTTAGAAAGAAGTGTGGAAAATACACTGAGTTGTCAGGAGACAATTTTAGGATCTCAGGAAAAAATCCTATACCCCCCCAAAAAAAATCATTTCCTTCTATTATTTCTTATGAATGAGTGCATTAAAAATAACATTAAAGCAATTAAACTTCTTAATCTTCATCTTGTGACTTCTCTGATGTTGCCAACACATTGTTTGCAATTTACTGATTCTGTCCACAAATACGACTGATGTTCAGTCACCAGGCACTGGGGCAGACACATGATTGATTGATAGATAGATACATGCAAACATACTTAGATATAGGTAGGTAGATAGGTAGATAGATATCCAAGTGTATAATAGATTCTTGAATGCAAAAAGTGACCAAAGATGGTACAGATACCAAATCTTTTGGAACAGGTTTCCCAAGTGGGTGATCAGAAGGTGACTAGGAGCTTGCTAGGGTGCAGTGGGTGGGGAAGTGTAGGAACAGCTATTCCCGAAGGCATGACACATTGTTCCCAAAGGCACGGCAGCACAGACAGCCAGGTTAAGGAAAGATGCATCTTCTGGTGTGGCTGAAGCAAAGTTCAGGGATCAGGGAGCAGAAGGTTAGAGACAAGGGTAAAACAGTTGGGTAATTGTTGTGAAGAGTCTGGTCCTGTATTGAGATTTGCATTTCTTTTTGCAGGCATTGGAGAATCAGCCAGGATTTATAAGGCAGAGCACAATGACATTTGTGGTTTGGAAAGAAAAGCAGCAGGAGGGTTGAAAGGGGAAGGTTGATGGGAGAGGTTTTCAGAAATAAAATGGATAGGATTCTTTCACCCGTTATATGGGAGCAGGTGAGAGGAAAGGAGGAAGTGAAAAATGGCTGCTTGGACCTGGGAATAACAGGAATGCAGGAAGAGTGTGAATGGGGAGGGGAAGGAAAAGAGTCTGTGCTTAGGTGTACTTGTGCAATACAGCTATGGAATGGAGAGAGAGAGAGAGAAAGAGAGAGAGGGAGAGAGAGAGAGAGAGATGCCCAGTACACACCTGGAATGGGAGTCTGGACCTCAGGGAGGAAGCTGGTTGGAAATGGACCCTCGATGACTTGAGTCATAGCATGCCTGAAGCCATGGAAAGGAGTGAGATCTCTGTGGGGTTGAGACTTGGTGCCCCTATATTTCTAGATATTTATTAATAATGGCTTACGATGTCTTTATATTTCTTGGATTTAGTTTAATACCCTATTTTCACAGCCCACTCTTAGGAAATTGTACAAGAAGTACATCTGAGCTAGTTCTGAATCAAATTCCAGCACTTTTCCATCACCCCGACTTTCTGGTGTGCATATATTCTAGCTTAATTATAAGGCTGTGGACTATTATTTAGTGATTTGGAGAACTCTTCAGGTGTTTGTTTGACATTTGTCAGGCTTTAAATTAAAACTCGTGTTTCAGACTCCTTATGTTGTTTTGAGAATTAATAATAAAAGCTACTCATAATGCACCTACCACTTGTTATGAGACACACCTTTAGTTAGGTGCTTTTCCTACATGATCTCGTGTAATCCATACAACCACCTACGCTGTGACATGAGGTGCCAGGACCATCATTACCCCCATTTTACAGATGAAGAGATGGAGGCTTTTAAGAACAGTATTGTGTAACTCACGGAAGCTTACTCGTCCAGGAATGATACTGCTAAGACTCCAATCCAGGTGAATGTTCCTCCAAAACGCTTCTTCTAAACCCTGTGCCTCCTGCCACCTCTTCCAAAGATACTTTTCATCCAGAGCGTTAAGAGAGTACTAAGTACTAAGGAATACAGAGGCTTATTTATGGAATCCACCCTCTTGCCTTAATTCAGATCATCAAACATACTTAGAGTACAAATAACGTTTTTAAGTATCCATTGTTTGTTTTAATGTTAGCTGTGTCAAATCATTCTCTAATCAGATACTCATTTTCGGACTTGATTGTCAGTCATCCCAAGTTTGTTTGATCTTTGTCAAGGATTAAAATACTTTCACGGTTTTGTCTGGAAGGAGCTAAGATCCAAATACTTGTAATAATAGCAAGCCGGCCTCAGAATCCCACCGGGATAGCCTGCTGGGTCCTGTATGCAGGGGCAGTATGGTGTATGAGGTCAAACCAAAGGGTCTGGAGTCAGGCAGATGGGAGTTGTAGCCCCAGTGACCCTGCTTGCTATCTCCGAGCTTCCATTTTCTCATTTGTAAAACTGTGGTAAAAATACAGGGTTGATGTGAGGTTTGGATCAAGTAAAACATTTGACGTCATAATTGACACATGGTATGTGGTCCATAAGTATAGTTGTACCTGCTGAAGACTTGAAGAGGAAGCAATTTCCTGTATGACATTTTGGAGTCTTAGAATCGCAAAGTCACAGAACATGAGGGGACTCCATTCAATCACTCATTCATTCATTCATTCACTCACTCACTAAAGTCTCCCTTGCATGCCGAGCTTTGAGCTGCGTACTGGGAACATAAAAATGAACAAGGTACAAAAGAAGACACAGTCCCCAGTCTCCAGCTGCTCAAACTCTAGACACTACTTAATCCATGCTTTAAAGTCCACTGTCTATTTCCTGGAAGAGAATTCATCATTTGAAACAAGGTGTGGCGAGTCACATTTGAAGTCTTATAAATGGCACACATAAGAGAGAAAAATCTGTCAGAGAATTTATGGTCCTTGAAGTGTCCTTGGAGAACTGTCCCCTGACCCCGAGGAAGGGTTGTTGTGGGTGTCAGCAGCAGGCCCCGTTACCCTATTGCCACACTGTAGCCCAAGAGACCAAGAGCACCTTGTTTAATTGGCAGGCAAAGAGGTTACCGAAGAAAAAAACCGTGATCATCACATGAGCTAGAGAGGCAGCCCCAGGACAGGAAGCAAGACGGAGGGGGGCAAACAGCTCAGGAAGAAGGCTCAGGAAAGACAGTTGAGAGTAACACTCAAGAGCTCGGACTTCAGCATGAGATAGAGCTCTGAGTTCACATCCTTGGACAATTGTTGGACTTCTCTAAGCCTGATTTCCCATGTCTTAAATGCATGGATATTTTAATACTTAGTTTATGAGTACCTGTGAGAGTCTATTTCTAGTGCCTCTCCAAATACAGTTGTAATACACAACACTGCTTTGCGCCATCATCATCGTCGTCGTCATCTCCAAGTGACAGACAGTCACCCAGTTTCCATTTTTGCTTTGAATACTTTGCAGAATTGTTGCGGAAGGTAAAATCTAGACCTATATGGGAACACAGAAAATGTTGTGAGTTTACGGAATTAATTTGTGTCAACATCAAATGAAATCTTTGCCCTTCTGTCCTTGACAAGGTAGAGCTGGGTCCTGGGACCGTACTAGAACTATAAAAGCAGAGTGAAAGAAAAGGCAGCTAGATGTCCCCCAGGAGCCAGCCGTGTCCATGCTGACTCTTTCCCTTTTCCTCACCAGGCACTTTCTCTTTAAGACCTCCTCGGGGAGCACACCCCTGTTTAGCAGCTCGTCTCCGGGATACCCTTTGACCTCAGGAACCGTTTACACGCCACCGCCCCGCCTGCTACCCCGGAATACCTTCTCCAGGAAGGCCTTCAAGCTGAAGAAGCCTTCTAAATACTGCAGCTGGAAATGCGCCGCCCTGTCCGCCATCGCCGCAGCCCTCCTCTTGGCGATCCTGCTGGCGTATTTCATCGGTAAGTCAGGGCAGCCTGCTCCATGACCCTGGCCGTGAGGGGTGGGGCAGAGGCCATGGACTTGTGAATACAGCAGGCTTCTCTTGTCCGTACAGCTTGCTTGTTGGCTCCCGAAAGATGTAAACAATGAGGGAGGGATGGGAGTGCTTTTTCTCTCCTGAAATGTGTTTAAATATGATGAGCTTCTTCCTCAACATTCTAAATAACATTTATCAGATGTGTAAGTAAGCATCCCTACCGTATTCTTTCTTGGAGACGAGCTCAAAATTGTTGTTTCTCCAAAGCCATCCCTCATTCTCAAACTGGCCTTCTAGTCTCTTCCATCTCTGGATTTTAACCCAGGTCTGTGTTCTAAAATGCATGCAACATGGATTAACTTCCACCAAAAACCGAATAGAGGAATAATGACCAGCGTGTCTGGGAGCATCTTGATTCAAAGAGAACATCTAGCTGAGTAGCCAGCTTATTTCCAGAGATGTGGAACAGAAACAGGATTGAGCAGTCCAGTCGGGTCTCTGTAGGGAATCAGGTCACCCACACACGCTGTGGATCTTGCCCACATCCCCTCCTTAGCTTCTGCCCCCTTAGTCTCAACTTGAATTGCGCCACAGTTTTGCATCAGGTTCATGTCTCGAGCCAGCTGTGCTTCTGCGAACTCAGATTATAACTTAGGGTAGCAGGTTGGTGAGGTTGCTGGGTTATCTTTCTTCCTATGCCAGGGATGTTGGTTTGCATCCATCGGGGGTAGCCCTGTAACTCTGGCAAGCAGTGGATGCAAGAGCTCAGAGGTAGGGCTCCCCACACATGTGAGCATCCTGGGCTGGCCACAAAGCCTGCTCACAGCTCCTGGCCCCAACTGAGAGCCCCAGTGTTGCTTCTCTGTGAACTGGGCTTACCAATGGCAGAGCTCCCGGCCCAGGCAGAGGCCACAGTGATGTTTGTTCAAGTGTATTTGAAACACTTGATGGTTCCAGCTTGGTTTCAGGGCAGCTGTGATATGCCTCTCTAGTTGGGCTGCGCCATGTTGCAAAGCAAGCCTATAAAAACACCAGCAGAAAGAGGCCAGCTGCAAAATTCTTCTCAGTACTTGTGCTGAGGGAAAAAGACCATCCTGATCAAGGGACTCTGTCCCTTCTCCCTCAACACTGGGGCTTTCACACTTCCTTTTTCCTCAGACAGCCAGTGTGGTATCTTCCAGAGAAGGAATTGGTCCAGGACTTCCCAGACCATTCTATGCAAGCTTGCCTGATGGCGAGAGCAGGCAGCCTTGCGTCCCCAGTAATCTGGGGCTCTGCCCAAGGCCATCACTAGCCAAAAACTGATGTGAAGTTGTCACTGTCTTCCATAAGATCGCTATGCGAACCTTAATACAGAAAAATCCATTTTACATTTCTTACCAGTCGCATCTCCTAGGAATGCCCTCCAAAAGTGACACTCTGGGGAAAGGTACCATGTTTATCTGGAACTTTGCAAAAGCCTTGATGCTATAAACCCCAGCCCCACGTGGGGACTGAGATCTGACATCCATGTACCCCTAATTTAAAGTCATATCTGCTTCTCACTTGCTCTTGATGAAGGATGGAGTAATGGATTGACTTGAGGGAGGGGTAGGGTGTCCGTTGCATGCTCTGCCACTTGTGTAGAATCCTTTGCGTCATTAGAGGTAGTTTTGTGTACTTCCCCAGGTAACTGTTCAAGGAGGCATGGTAGAAGCAAATTGAATTGCCTTCATGGTCTTTGCATGATTTGGCTTTGTGTCAGAAACTTCAAAAAGGGTCCATGAGCTCACTTCTCAGACTTAATGTTCTGCTGAGCTGCTGGGCACCATGGGGAGCCCAGATACAGAAATTGAGGCACTACTCACCTCCGCCAATACCATCCCCAGTGTACCTCCTACTCTACTTGCCAGAGAGAGATAGATGACTACTGCCTGATGTATTGAGCTTGATAGTTAAAATATAATAGCTTTTTGTAGGGTGATTACATAAATGGGAAACCATACAGTGAGAGTTAAATGTTTTAATTCGGTATGTAACTTGTAAATGATGGATTAGGAAACATATTTATCCTCCGTCTGGAGGCTACTGGAAGCTGGACCTGAGCATCTTAGGATGGTTTATTAGATTATAATCTATCATTTTCTATTATGTATGCTTTAGGTAAGATTATTCTTTAACCCTGGAGTATTAAAGCATAGTTGATGACTCAAAACGAGTGATGGTGGGGGCCAGTGTCCCCAGCGGTGATGGTGGCGAGTGTGGAGCCAGAGGCCTGCTCTCCAGAGGGGACGGCAGCTCTGCAGTCACCATGAGGGGTCACAGTCTTGAATGCTGATCTTGACCCAGTGATCCCGTTCTCCTTTGCTTTGACAAAATTGTTTTCCTTCTGCATCTAAGTTTCCTAAGTAAAATCCGGAAGCATGATGGTTATTTACGTGCAAAAACTCCAAAGTATGGTGAGGATTAATTAATGTGTATAAATCACTTTGAAGATGAAAAGCTGTATATTATTAATTACAGAGCTGCAGGGGCATAAACAGTGCATTATAAACACAGAGAAAAATGCTGTTGGGAGCAATGAGCGATTGTGCCCACCGAGAAAACGAGTCATCAGGGAAGGGCAGAAAGGCAACCTAAAAATCAAAGCCCTCCTATTAAGGACACACAAGTTTCTAAGACCTGAGCTCATTCTGGTTCATACATGACTCCATGTTCCAGTAAAACAGGGTAAGTCCTGGAACTGAAGCATCAACCTTGAGATATTTATGGATAGGCACTGGGTTCAGGCCTGCCAGGAGCTGTGACAATTAAATCAAATTACCTTCCTTGCATGTTCAAACCCATGAAGAGAAGACTCCAGAAATGAGCCACCTGGAAAAGTTCAGCCCCGTGACGAGTCCTTCCATACATCCAGCACGCGAGTGAGTGTGAAAGCAGACTAAGGTCAACCTTGTGCACATTGGAAGATGTAGGCATTCACCAACTCAGGAAAGATACCCCATTTCCTCCTGACACAACTGAGGACAAAGATCTTTTAGGATGCACTCTCCAGTCAGATTTTTCCTATGTTAGATTCTTCCAGTGTACATAACTTCCTGGAGTAAATTTCTCTGAAAAGTTGCATAAACCCCTTGGGGACCATTCTGTGCATCACTCAGCCCCTGGTCCACATGTTTTCTTGGGAGTACTGGCTATGAAATGCAAGAGAGCTTCCCTCTTGGGAACTTGTCTTACATGCTAGGGCCCCTCAAGTGCTCTCATGGCCTGCGATGCCAGAAATCCCTCTAGATCCCTCAGTCTCTGAATCATGTAACCAATATAGAATTCCTCCCCTGTTTTATGGCAACGCTACTGTGTCTTTATCCTCATAGCACACATAACAATAACTGATTGGCAACTTCCATTTGTTGAGAACTGTCGGCTTTTTCGCTGAAAGCACCTTTATGTAATTATCAAATGTGAGCCCTAATCCCAGCCCCCACTATACGCTCTATCAGAAAATAAAATCAGCGTATTACGGTCATTTCACGGAGTTGATGCTGAAACCCAGAGTGCCTGCAGTCACGTGACTGGCTAGTTGCAAGGTAAGACTGGGTCCTGGGTCTCCTGATTACTCTCCTGGTTATTTCCAAATACTGCATGAGACCTAAATGATCCCTTTTGTAGCATCGACTCCATGAATCTGATTTTATCCTCATTAACAAGGGAGAATAATTAGTTCCTTTCCTTCCCAAACCATCTTCTGATGATTCCCACAGTGGAGAGAAACCGTCTCTCTTCCTCAGTCTCCTAGCCTGTCCTTAGGTGGCTGTTTTCCCAAGCATCGTCTGTTATCGGGGTCAGAAAACAACATTTTCCGTGCAGCGCCAGATCATAGATGTTTTTGGTTTTGAGGGTCATGTGGTCTCATCTCAGTTGTTCCGCTCTGCCCTCCTATGGCAAGAGCTACCATAGCCACTGCCAGACGTGGCTGTGTGCTGGGAGACTCTAAGTATGGACACCGAAATTCAAATTTTATGTACTTTCCATGTGTCAGGAAATATTATTCTTTTGGTTTTTAAAGAAAAAAAAACCTTTTTTTTAGTTTTTTTTTTTTTAAGATTTTATTTATTTATTTGTCAGAGAGAGAGGAGCAAGAGCGAGCACAGGCAGACAGAGTGGCAGGCAGAGGCAGAGGGAGAAGCAGGCTCCCTGCCAAGCAAGGAGCCCAATGTGGGACTCGATCCCAGGACGCCGGAATCATGACCTGAGCCGAAGGCAGCTGCTTAACCAACTGAGCCACCCAGGAATCCCCCCAAAAAAAAAACTTTTTAAAGGTAAACTATTCTTTAGCTCATATGCTGTTCAAAACACACAAACAGGTGGCAGACTGGATTCGGTCCTTGGGCCACAGTTTGCCAACCCCTCCTGGATTATATTACTATTCTTTTCCTAAAAATACCTTTTCAGAGTATCTCCGTTTTTACAGAAAAGAAAGAAAGAAAAAAAGAAAGGAAGGAAGGAAGGAAGGAAGGAAGGAAGGAAGGAAGGAAGGAAGGAAGGAAGAAAAAGAAAAAAAAGGAAGGAAGGAAGGAAGGAAATCTGCTTTCAGCCTAACTAAGAGTCCAACTCTATGTCCGCTGTAAATGGAGCAGGTGATTATTTTCTGAGGCTGGCAATCCCACTTTGTAATGAATAATTACACCTGACTTTCTGATCCAAACCAAAAAGTAGAAAAAGCAAGCCACTTTTCTCTTTGAAAACTTTCCAAAGGGTAAAAATGTCCATCCTAATAGACAGCATGAAACACAGCTTCAACTCTTGGGTGGTATGGAATTGCCAAAAAACTTTGCCACATACTCCCTCATCATCAGTCTTCAGTCACCCCGGGTTCCTCTGCAGAATCACTGCCTGTTTTCAAATTTGCCTCATTCCCTGGTGCCTTCTTTATTGGGGTTTCCAACTTCTTTGTCGGGGTTTCCCAACAGGTGGTAAGGGTGCAGGTTCACTGAAGGACATAGC